TGTCATCGACATCATAGGTTGCAAAAAAGCGCGGTGCTCGAAAAACCTCGAGATTCATAATATTTCTTCAGCTTTGGGATTTTAACTTCTGATAGATTCATCCTACCTAGGGCTGATATCTCTAAAATGTGGCAACCAGGATAAGACGCGTGATAACCCCAGATTTTGAAGCCCAGAACCCGGACAGACCAATAAAAAAGCAGTTATAAAAATGTCACAAATCAACTTTTTATGTTGATCTAGGCAAAAAAGCTAGAGGTCTACCTCATAATAAGTGGTCACTGCTGCCCATTGACACTTGCAGCACCAAGGGCCACTCATGCGTTACCGTAAATTTTTAAACCCGGACTACAAATAAAACCCCGCCCGGACGCTCCCCGGACGCCCCGTAAACTAGGACAAATCCGGCGAAACCCGGACGGATGGCAGCCCTAATCCTACCGAGAAAGTCGCTTTCTCCATTTTAATGTAGACAACATAGTGTAATATACAGGTCTCGATATACAGTATTTGGATATAGACGTTTTTTAACATATATGCCTTTAAGCATGCAAAGGCTCAACAATGCAATAAATACTACGTTTACGAAGACATACAGACAGATTTAGGTTAGCTTTTAATATAATATAGTCGTGGAGAAAGTAGACGTACGAAATTAATAAAGAATTTCATATTTATATCAAAAGAAAATATTACTACAAAAATTCCACGTGAACCAGGCAGCAGGGACTCGAACCCGCACCCTTCGCTATCCGGGTAAATGCACTGACTATTATACTACTGCGAGATAAGATTTTAAATCGAGCAGTTACATGCTTAAAAAATAAAAATTATTATTTAAATGATTATTATGAGGCAAACTAAAAATACTTATTTAAGTACCTACCTACTATTTTTGTTTTTCAATGTTAACGATAATATGAAATTTATAGTAATATAAGTTATTTACGGGATTGTTACCATGTACCTTGTTTTTAGCATGGTACATGGTAACAATCCCGTAAATAACTTATATTACTATAATGTTAGTGACCATGAAAGTTTAAAACAATAATATGAAATTTATATACAATCAAACCCGGATAAGTGAGAAAACTCTATAAGTGAGAGTAATAGCCAGGACCCAGGACCCGTCATTTTAAGCCCCCAAAACCTCTATTAGCGAGAAACAGAAACCTCTATAAGAGAGAGTCGTTTTTCCCTCATGGTCCTCCGTAAGTGAGACTGCTACTTATTCTATACCTCTATAAGTGACAGTCGAGCTTTATTTACAAAGGAGATTGCTCAGCTTCCATACATGTTTGGCCTAAAAACCAATAACCATGAAAAATTGTTTCCTACATTCGAAATTATATATAAATTACCGTAGAAACGAATATTATCGACGGCCACTCCTGAGAACTTCTATAAACCATATACACTGAATGATTTTGAGGTTATGTTTGCAAATAGGCACATAGGTATTAGAATAATAAAAACCAAATAACTTATATAGGAAAATAGGGCAATCAAGCCAAGTACCTACCGATATTATGTATTAGATTCAGGTATATAGAGCATGTAAAGTAACAGATATGTGCATGTTTTTAAAAACACGAACAGAAACTGTGCGATGATTGTGAATGAGCCACAGATTAGAGAGAATTTTTAAACTCTCGTTAATCAAAGAAAGCTAAGAGCTGTAGGTTATACAGCCATATCTTCAGCAGCTTCATTATTTTTGTTATGTTTTTATTATAACCATATTTTAGATTTTTAGTGTATCACACCTTATAATGTGTTTATTTAGGTGTTTGGCAAAAAATGTACGGCAATAGACTTTATGATGTCGCCTACCATCTATATTAATTGTCTTAGCACATTTGCATGTAGTAAAAATGATAATAAAGTTGTGGATTTTAATACCACCCGTGTAATAAAAAAAAATATATTTTATCAATCTTTACAAAATAGATTTGTTTTGATGTTATATAAACAACCTCGATCAGTCTTTGTGAATGTTACTACCATAGCCAATAAAAATGATTCGTATGTTTTCCAAACCGGTAAAAATAGAAGTCCTTTTTTAAAATTAATATATTATTTAAAGGTGGCCGTTAAAATCTAATGACTGTAAAATAAAGTATAAATTACGCCAAGAATTACTGTATATGTCAATATTTTATTTGCATTTAGGCCAATTTGACCAATCTCCTTTAACATCTGCTATTTTATTTAAGAAGATTTGAATGACAAAACGGCGTGATCATAATCCTCCTATCCTAGATCCTACACATAAATGACTTTAATTTTAAGTAAATATGTTGTGGTTCATATAGGTGGTTATAGGTAGTCATGCTCTCTTAAAAGTCTCTTCGGTGGTGTCGTGTGAGGTGGGTCGTTCGGTTCCCTAAAATGTGGTAGAGCGAAGGTTCATGCGTCATGCTCGTGAACGGGTGCTGCCAGCGGAGATGAGTCTGCCCTTACTACTTTGATATTTAAGATGTAAATGTTTAATTACACCTATTATAAATAACTCTATTTGTATTTATACTGTTTGACACAGCAATCAAAATGCAGGTGAACAATTAAAGTATAATTTCATATTATGTAATGAAAGGTGACTTCATGAATCATCTCTGAAGTCATTTTTCAACTTGACGACTCTGTAAGCTGAGTTTCTTGCCGGTTCTTCTCAGTACAAGATCACCCGCCGTAGATTTACGAGCCGATGGCGTAGCTTCTAGACATTCATATTATGTGCTTGTAACAGCCTAAACTGAATAAATGATTTTGATTATGATTATGACTAATTCTTAACTTTCGTGGAACTGTTTTTGTATTGTTTTCTCGTCAATATTGTACCTATTCTATTTCGTGGAACTAAAGATTGTTGTAATTTTATCGCATTATTTTCGAATGGACACGTGTGCCTGTGTACCGTCCTGTTTGTCGGACTTACTCAGTTTATAGGTATCAATTGCGAAGAAAACTCCAGCGGTTAGTGAGAAACCTCTATAAGCGAGAATGAGATTGTGCCACCTTGAACTCTCACTTATCCAGGTTTGACCACGGTTTGACTGTATTATAAAACACCTGTTGAAATTGGAACAATACAAACTGGAGCAGTATTTAGGTGCAGTATAATAATATTCAGATCAGAGAGACACCTTATATTGTTTTAAACTTTCATGGTCACTAACATTATAGATATTAACGGGATTGTTACCATGTACCTTGTTTTTTATGAGTCTCCGATATTTCGGCACTGTTGCAAGCGCCATGATCACGGAGTAACTGTGATATACACATACAAACAAGGTGTCTCTCTTATTATAGATATTAACGGGATTGTTGCCATGTACCTTGTTGTTTATGAGTCTCCGATATTTCGGCACTGTTGCAAGCGCCATGATCACGGAGTAACTGTGATATACACATACAAACAAGGTGTCTCTCTTATTATAGATATTAACGGGATTGTTGCCATGTACCTTGTTGTTTATGAGTCTCCGATATTTCGGCACTGTTGCAAGCGCCATGATCACGGAGTAACTGTGATATACACATACAAACAAGGTGTCTCTCTTATTATAGATATTAACGGGATTGTTACCATGTACCTTGTTTTTTATGAGTCTCCGATATTTCGGCACTGTTGCAAGCGCCATGATCACGGAGTAACTCAGTTACTCCGTGATCATGGCGCTTGTGGCATTGCGTCATTGATTCTGGCGGAGGGCTTGCAACAGTGCCGAAATATCGGAGACTCATAAACAACAAGGTACATGGTAACAATCCCGTTAATATCTATAATAAGAGAGACACCTTGTTTGTATGTGTATATCACATGACAACTAAGTGTTGATCTTTACTTGAATATGGTTAGAAAGGGATGTCGCTATGTGCTATAGCACATAGCACATATATATATATATATATAGCGTATCCCTTTCTATCTATGCTCAAGATTAGATTCATTATTTGTTTCTTAGGTTTTCACGCACATCACTCATTAAATAAAACTAGTTTTTTACGGGTTAATGCACGTAACTTTCATTACTAGATTCATTACTGGGAATCTTTATAATACGGGCATTAGTGTTTTGTATAACATACTTTTATCCGCATGATCTAAACACTGCCACTTTAGATTATACAGACACATTTTTATGTATGGAAAATTCATTAATTCTTTTTAAGTAAATCAATGTAATTATATAGTTTACTAGCAAACCTGTGAACCAAATGTTCACCAAAAAAAAAAAAGTATTTAATTAATTGAGAACTTCGGAGATTTTGTGTGGTTTCGTTTGAAATAGAAATCACGTGATTTCTCGAAAACCGGAAGTGCTACGTTACTCACATCCGGTTTGTAGTCTTATCAGACTATTCTTAACTTATAACTTAAACATTCTCTATATCTATCTCTTACGGTTTGGCCGCTGAAACAGCACCACGGACGGACGGACGGACTTGTCTAATAGATAAGAGATTTTATCGCATCTTCTCAAGACTGCCGCTTCAGATCAGATAGACACTTTAATTGTATGGAAAGTTCATTCTCTTAAACATGCTTGGAAATTTGAGCATTATTTTGATCACCTTCTTTGAGTTAAATCGAAATAGCTGCACTGACCGAAAAAAAACAAATAAATACAGAAAAAATATTGGTTTTCGTCATTGATTGTGAAAAATAGTTGTGTTCCAAACGGCTAATTAATGTCCATTATGATATGTTTGTTTTTAATCTTGAGACCCTTGATCCGTGGGGTACTAGCGCTATAAGGCTTTTTAAGGAAATAGCAAAAAGGTTAGTCGACATCACAGGAGACCGAAGAGCTGGCAGCTACCTCGGACAAAGAATTAGTCTAGCTATTCAAAGGGGGAACGCTGCCAGTACCTTCGGAAACTTGCCTAAAGGGACTCCTTTTAATAATATATTTTATTTATTTATGGTTTTCAGTTTTAGTTTCATTGTTCCAGTATATATTATGGTCTAGTGTTTACGTCTAACATACCTTTATCGCACCTCCTGAAGACTGCCACTTCAGCGGCGGCTACCGCCAGTAGCGTCAGAAAGACCGTCAGAAACTTGGCCGCCATGATCTGACGCGTGCGTTACGGTCGACGGGGCGATACCGTAATGATATTGCAGACCCAGCGAGATCTCTGCTGCTGGGTACTGGTGCACTCAGCGGCTAACTGTAGGGCTGTCGATTGATTTATTATATATTTATTTTAAGCATTTAACATGTAAAGAATTTTTTAAGAGAAACTTCTTTACACACGCTTGACTTGGGGGGGTAAGATGGCGAATGCGTTATGTGTTACGAAAAGTGTGTTCGGGCGAGGCGTACAGGAGTTGAGTGGGGGATATAAGCAGAGCGCGCGCACATTTTGTCTTATAGTAATATAAGTTATTTACGGGATTGTTACCATGTACCTTGTTTTTAGCGAGTTTCCGATATTTCGGCACTGTTGCAAGCGCCATGATCACGGAGTAACTGAAGTAATTGCGGGTAGGCTGTTATTGGCAGACATATCGGTCTACCCTCCGACGAAGTCTTTTATTGCGTTCGATACCCGTACCACTGTTCACATTTTGTGAACGAAGAACACTCTTCACTCCTGCGCGAAAGGTTTCACAATACCTAGGGTTTCCTAAAGACAACTTCCCCTTGGAGAAACCTGGTGTCTATAAGATCGATTGCAGCTGTGGCAGTTCGTACATTGGCCAAACAAAGCGAACAGTATCATGCCGAATGAGGGAACACATAAAAGCAATCATCATTTTTTCGGTCAGTGCAGCTATTTCGATTTAACTCAAAGAAGGTGATCAAAATAATGCTCAAATTTCCAAGCATGTTTAAGAGAATGAACTTTCCATACAATTAAAGTGTCTATCTGATCTGAAGCGGCAGTCTTGAGAAGATGCGATAAAATCTCTTATCTATTAGACAAGTCCGTCCGTCTGTCTGTCTGTGGTGCTGTTTCAGCGGCCAAACCGTACGAGATGGATAAAGAGAATATTTAAGTTATAAGTTAAGAATAGTCTGATAAGACTACAAACCGGATTTGAGTAACGTAGCATTTCCGGTTTTCGAGAAATCACGAATTTCAAACGAAACCACACAAAATCTCCGAAGTTCTCAATTAATTAAATACATTTTTTTTTAAATCAGGTTTTGGTGAACCTTTGGTTCACTGGTTTGCTAGTTTTTTTATAATCTGTAAATGCTTTATTTCTTGTAAATATATATAGGTATATCCTATACCTACTGCTCTTCTGATTTTCCTTTTTTTTCCTATATATTTATTTTGTCGCTACACGACCCAGCGAGTTCCCTAGTAGCTTGGAAACTCGCCCCGTGGCATCAAGGCTTTACTTGTACTGCTGCGGCCATCGTCACTATGCCAATACCATTTGGATCCTTGGATCTTTACACAGTACCATGTGCTGCTTCGACCATCCACACCCTGCCAGTATCATGTAGAGACCTTTTTTTCTTTGCATAACGCAGGTAAATAAAAAATCTTTTTACAGTCGACGGCGCCTTTAAGAGACACACCGCCGAACGGACCTCACACCTGGCTACCGCAAGTCTTACGGACCCCCTAGTGGCTGACCACCAAGGACCCCGCAATTCTTACGGGCGCTTTACGGCATAATATCCGCTAAAAAAGTCCTGCGAATACCTTCTACACTGCTTTATGCGAAGCCGCGGGGTCCCCGTTTAGGGATTCTTCCGCGACTCCGCACCCAGCAGTTTCCCTGCCTCGCCGGGGCTCCACGGCGGGGTCTCCCGAGGTATTACGGGGACCCCGCAGACGTGCGCAGGACGACCCGCGCGTGGGGGCTGGGTACGCCCCCCGTCCGATGCGGATGGCTATATGGGTGGATACACCCATATAGCCATCCGCATAGCTCTCCGCATAGCTCTCCGCATAGCTCTCCGCATAGCTCTCCGCATAGCTCTCCGCATAGCTCTCCGCATAGCTCTCCGCATAGCTCTCCGCATAGCTCTCCGCCACCCCCCTTTGCAGGACAGAACTACAAGAGAGGGGCCGCCGTTCCTGGGATCATGTAGAGACCTGGACCTTTACTCAGTAAATTCTAATTACCCGCTTCATAGTCTAAATCTATATTTATGTAGGCAACCCTACAATTGGCATACAAGTTGTAAGTATTGTTTATCTCCAATCTTGACATTTCGACCCGGACTCCTAAAGTTCTGATAACGAGCCGTCAATTACCTAAATACGTCTGCACTTATGATGTCTGCATTCGTCAATAACTCTACATAGTCTACTATTTTGTCTGTCATACCATAACATAACATAGTTAATTTTGTGTTCACTTAGTTTCATCTTTATCTATGCTGTAAACTTATTAATTAACTGTGATGTTGTTACGTATAATTGCTTGCTATTAACGATATTTTAATACAAATCAACCTAGATACAAAATGTTGTTGTCAACAAGAACAAAATCATCGCCGAAACCTGTCCAAAAGGTACATTGGTCGATCCACGGAGCTCCGTAAGATGATTGCGTTGTCAAAACCAACATAAGGCCTTATTTAAAGGCATTGAAAGTCAACTATAATGCAAACTGTATAAGGTCTCAATTAAAACGCATGCGTCAAAGAATGTTCGAAATGCGAGCTCTAAAATTTTACGGAAAAGAGACGGCTAAACAATCGGCCATGCATTTGAATATCACAAATATTTTAAATGAAATCAGTTTACAATAAGTATTAGAACAAAATTTGCTTCAAATGCGTTAAATTAACAAACATTGATTAGATATCTGACGGAAAAACGGCACTTTACGTACTGCAACAATTCCGCGCGTGACTGTGAAAGAAGAAGTGCTTGAGTGGAGTTCAAGCACTTCTTAATTGCGACACATTTTGAGTGCACGTGTTGTCTTTAGGGTATTAATATCGTTGCTTGCTATATATTTACAAAAACTTGCTACATAAACTGGCCAGTGGCACGCGCAATGTTATGTCCCGTAGTAGCTTATTTTGTTAGCGAAAATAGCAAATTTATATTTGGTTTGATATTTCAGAAACTCATCGAAAAATTGTCTTCATAATTCTGCATCATTATTCCAATAACGCCCAATAATCTTGTATATTATATTAACAAGATTAAGGATAGGCATTGGACTAGTAAAAATGATATTTTATTGATGTGAAAACTTCTTTAGCACCGTTGTGTTTGTACAGTAGCGAGTTTAGAGATCGGACAATTAAGCAGTATGTATTTAACTGGCAAATACCTGTCAAATATATATGATAAGAACCTTATCTCGCCAAGACCGTAAGTTAACTCGCTATTGTACTTCATCAGCTCAGCCGTACGACGCCCACTGCTGGGCATAGGCCTCCCCCAAATACTACTGTGCTTACCGAAGTGTAAATCAGCCTTTAGAGCCACAGAGCGAAATAGTCGCCACTGATGCCAGATTGGGGGGATTCCCCCCAAATTTAGGGGGTTTTAAATCGATGGGGGGATAATTGTAGGGAAAATATTTTTAGGGGGATTAATGGGGGAAACGGAGGGTTTTTTATTATTTTTTTTATATGAAAATGTGTTTACTATTGGTGTGCGCTGCGCCTAACAGATTTATCAAATGATTTTTATAAAATTCTAAAACTGCTTTTTATAAATATAAAATGTAAATTCTGAGAATAAAACAAATATCTTAATCTCTTTGGAATAAAAGAAATTATATTATTTTGAGAACTTTATTCGATAAGTACAAAGTTTATACTATTTACAAAAAACACCCTCAATGTACAACAAGGGCTGTTACATACAAATTAATTGAAACTAAAATTATTTTAATTATAATTAATCGTAAAGAGTATTGTCATATTTCGTTGCTCCAATTGATTTATTTACAATAAGTAATTCATTTATTCGACGTCTAATATTTACAAATTATGAATAATACAGAACAAACACACTCTGAGTCAATTCTTTGGCATTAACGTTCCAGTGTGTAAGACAGTTGATTAATTAAAGTTAACGTTCTATCTTAAGACCGCTCTCAGAAAAGTCAATTAAATTTATTGTTTGTCGAAGTAGGTAATTGAAAAACATTTTTGAATGCGGTCGTAATTATTACTTATTACATTTTTTATTTCTATCAATTATGATATTTTATAATAGTGATTAAAAAAAACATTAAATGAGAATTATTTCGTTGCATTTAGGAACAATTTGTATTGTAAGAGTACAACTTGAGCATAATAGTTAGTAAATACTGTTACAGGAGGGGGAAATAATATAAAATGCATCAACTCCAAATATTACCATGCTGATTGTTATAGCTTTGGGGAAAATCATGTGTCGACGGTCCCTACGTAAACTCTAGGATGTGGCACTTAGGTTATTCTTACTATTTTATTCAATTATTTTCCTCTAACGCAGGTCTACCGGCTAATGAAACAAAAATGTGAAAAACTGCAATAATTATTGAGATATAGCAGTATGACAAACACATAAGTGTCACTTACTTCAATCCAAACAACACTGCGAGAAAAACCTTGCATGTGCCAGTAGGAGGTGCAAGTATGAGGTAGTTACTCGATTGTACGTCGGGTAAGTCAATATTTTTAAATTCTAGTAATTCAGTTGAAATTTTCAAATATCACAGATACAGTGTCAAATACTTAATTTATTAATTTTCAATTCATTTCTAGTTACTTGCCGAGTTTCAATAACATTGCATGTATATTTTCAGAGTTATAGAAAAATAAATTTTCAAACAGCTCTCCTGTAAATATGAGATTCTCACATAGGGGATTATACGTAGGAGCCGTAGGTATGCTATATAATAGCGTCGGTCTAATCCTATACAATGAATTTCTGACAGAAAACAATATAGGCTGTATTAAACAATAGGACAGTAGATGGCATATCGTTGACTGCAATACAATGGTTTTATATAAACCGTTAGAGCATATTTAAACACATTATAAGTTTAAATAAAATTTTACTAGAAAAAAATCACGCATTAAACATTTGAAGGAAGAAATAGCAGTTGCAGGTATTATATTTGCGACAATTTTTTGAGCATTTAACTGCTAGTTTTATAAATCTAAAGAAAATATTTAGGTACTACAAATAATCCAATCGGTATTAAGTTTCAGATGGGATTACATACATTTATATATAGGAATAAATAAAGAGAGCTTATTTAATAAATTTATAAGTAGTTTCTTTATAAATTACACTGCACACAAATATAATTCTATTAATTCCAGGTATTTTGGTTAATAAATTGGGTAAAATTCGGTTTAAGTAATTAGCCTCTTCTTAATATAAAAAAAAACACATTAAGTTGAGAATTTGAGATTAAAGGTAAATCTAATTTATTATAATCGTATAAAAAAAAATATGAGATGAAATACAAATGAAGAAAAAGAAGTACTTTATAAATTTAAATATTTGATTAAATGTCATATTTCTGAATAGTTTATGCCAGCGTTTCGACTTAAATACTTTGAATATAAAAACTGTATTTTTTTATTTTTCCAATATTTGGGGGAGACGTGCTATCACCACGGAGAAAATACAAAATTCATTCTTTGTGCTACTTGAAATCTCGGGCTTATCCCAACAAGCCTCCGATAAATCACAGCGTTTAAAGAGCAGCTTTCATTCGACAGGAATGCGAACAGTTATTGTTACCGAAAATCGTGAGGAAATTGCACAAATTAATATGTATAAACACTGGCTGTAGCCAATTCACAAATACTATCTCTCAACTAGGGCCTTAAGTTTTTATCATTCAAAATATTTTTTATTTAGTAAAAATTGGATGATTTTTTTTGCGCCACCCTGTATATGGGATAGAGCAAGAGAGCATGCGGATGCAAATTCTCTTTGGGTGGAGCCTTTGTAATGGTAAAACTAAGTGTCATGTCATGTCATGTCTAAATTCTCTCTTAACAGATGCCAACACCATCTGTTCACCGTGCTCTCATTATGGGTCATATAATATGGGTCACATTATGGGTAATATTATATGGGTCACATTATGGGTAATATTATATGGGTCACATTGTGGGTGTATTATATGGGTCACACTACAGGTCATATAATCCATGTCGCAATACGGGTCATATTATATGGGTGACTGTATGGGCAATATTATGTGGATGATACTATGGGTCATATTATATGGGTCATGCTTTGGGTTATATTATATGGGTCACACTATGGCTAATGTGGTAGTAGTGGTATTAGTGGCGGAGTGTGGGTCATCTCGGTGGTGGGGATGCAGGCCGGCCTCCTTGAGGATGCGCATGCGGGGCCCTAAAGGCACCCCTAAAGCGCGTAGTTTGTCTTCCCCCACGTAGGGGAGCTCGGCGGCACCCACTTTCTCTTTCTCCAGGAGAGCAGCGTATCTCTGTGGATGAATTGTGAGTTATGAGTACCTTGTTTTGGGGGAGACCCCGATATTAAAGGCTGATTTACACTACGTTAGGTACGTACTCGATACTTATACGTACGTCAGTGTTACCAACCCTTAGCAAAAATTTACCCTAAGTATTTTTTTAATTCCCCTAAAATCCCCTGAATATAGAAATTTATATGGTACCTACTTATCTTATTACCTAAATTCTTTCGTTGCTCATAAATTAAAACGTTACATATTTAGTTATAGTAAATTATTTTATTGAATAAATACATTTTCCGAATGGAAAATTAAACGAAAATGAGCTGACAGGCTGTTAAATCTTATTCAGCTGTTCTGATTGGTGGAAGGCAAAGAACTTTAGTCCATACAGCCTTAGGAAACAACCTGCCACACAGTGAGTTCAGTCGTTTCATATCGTGGTGCGTTCCATTCTACGCACAAAATTGAAACAAAACACACGCTTTGTTTTTCGGTTTAATTGTAAGTTTTGTTAAAAGCCCTTAAAAGAACCCCCAAAAAATTCCAGCCCCTAATAAAGTCCGTTTTAACCCTTCTAGCCCCTAAATCTGGGGGCAAAACCCCTAAGTTGGGCACCCTGACGTACGTACGTAGGTGCGCGATAAGTAGTGAGTTTAGAAAGCGGACAGTAAGTACTTAACTATCAAATCCCGGTCCAAACGATTTTTTTCTAATAACTTTTTCTTTAGATTTAAACATCTACCAATTAAATGTTTTATATTTAAGAACATATGTCGCAATATCCGTAAATGGAATCATCTCCGTATATCTATCACTCTGCCTGCTCACGTGTTCCCTCCTACTTATAACCTGGGATTCTTTAAAAGAGGCGTAAAGAAGCATCATGCAGGCCGGCAGGGTGAGGATGGCTGGTGTTTCAGGTAGAACTGCAGTACCAGGTATTTTCACGTCTAGATTTCACCGTCACTTAACATTAGGTGGGGAAGAGTCATTTGTCGGACCTATCTATATGTTTATATAAAAACATCACAAGTACTGGTTCCAAAAACAATTTTGTAACTTTGCTTATCAAATTGATATTTCCAACTCCTGCAGGAATACAAAAGAGTGTACTCCTTCCTTAAAGGCCGGCATTGCATTTGTGATACTCCTGGTGTTGCAAGTGTCCATGGGCGACGGTGATCACTTACCATCAGGTGAGCCGTCTGCTCGTATGCCCCCTATAACATAAAAAAAAACCGGAATCCTATACAACCGAAATCTTAACGTCTACCAAGATTAAGTTTTGAATAATAATATATCACCTCATATCCCAGTTTCTTGAGGAACAGCCTCATCAGGGGTGGTTCGTCCCCGAAGAACTTGGTGAGCCGCTTCACCCGGTCCGGGTTGCTGAACGAGTACGGGTCTGAGTGCCGCTGACCCGATCTGATGTACTGCTGAGACCTGGAGGGAAATAACAATTCTTATGAAAATGAAATGAAAAAACCTTTATTGGCCATCTTACACAATACAAATACTATAAATATAAACAAAAAAAAAAATGGTTGCCTGTAAAGTCGGTTTTACGGGCGAAGATTTTACGTGACAACGTCTTTTTCTCGGTAGAATATTTATTGATATGAATATAATTAAATTGCACAATAGGAACAAGGAATTGAATGAAAATAAGAATTGCACAAATTTTAACTATAGAAATATATTTTGTTTACTAAAACATTGTACATGTAAACTTAAACTTAACACGAGAGACTCATCGTAACGTTACCGAGCGTTACACTTTTTCATAAGTGACTCCCAGCCGCAACCTAATTTAAGACGTTGTCACGTCAATAAAAGAGGAACTTAACCTAAAAACAAAAAAGAACAACATAAAACTAAGATGGCCAATTGGGACCCTGCCGCAGCTTATGCTGACACAGTGGGAGAATACTCTCTCACTGTATCAGCGCTGGTATTCTGGCAGGGCCTGTGCGAGTACGTGTTAACGCCTACCAACAAGTAACAAAACAATACATTTATGCTTATCTATTAATATTTTATTTTATTGCGCATACACACAAACATACATACATACGCTGATATACATATACACACATTAAATACATACAATGACCTAATCCTTAAATAAAGAAACGCAGCGCAGCACTCCGAACGCACCCGCACCGCATCCGATAATGGCGTCGACTCTGTCATGAATCTCCAAACCCAAGACCAAACCTAACACCAGTCCCTCTCTATCATTTTGTATAGCGAATGACAAGGATACACTGCCGTCAAATTCATATTCAGGCTCAGAGAATCACTTCAGAATGGACACCTATGTCAATATACGTAGTATCTTAAATACTAAGTACGAGTACGAGTTTTGTAGTCTGTGCAATATGGTACCTAGTCTATGCATTATGATATCAATCATCTGCAATCTGTGGTGAGTTTTGTACTTTGTTCTTAGAGATTCCGTTAGAGATATGACAACTCAAAGGTAAGAAATGGGAGCCGTTCTCTCTCCGAAGTCAAATCTTGCATCTCATCTGATGATAAAGTGAAAGGTGGGAACAAAGTTTCGACCAGTGTAATTTTTTTTGAGTGTGTATGCTGTTGATCGCAGATGACCTTTACAGATTCACCGGGTTTGGGGATGGTGAGATCCTAAGGAGACCTCAAGCCGAGAATTGGCGAGTACCTCTATAGGTATTCCAGGCGGATGGCATCTCCCCACGGGGGAGTCTCCTCTCCGTCTGGAGCCTTTAGACCACTCGAACCTGAGGGCGTCTCTGAGACTCGGATCTCGGCTCCAGTTTGCTGTTGTCGTGGGGGTGCATCTATTGTTATCTCTTATAGACGGAAAAGGATGGCCGGAGGAGTTCGATGGCGCAGGTAGCTAGCGCATTCGGACTGCGATCATGGAAGTTAACCAATTTTTACAATGGTAGGTCATTGGATGGGTGACCAAAAATTTACTATCTCGAGCTCCTGCGTGCTTCGGAAGGCACGTTAAGCCGTTAGTCCCGGCTGCATCTGCAGTCGTTAGCACCCACCAATTCGCACTGGGCCAGCGTGGTGGGTCATGGTCCAATCTCCCTATTCCATCCATAGGGAAGGCCTGTGCCCCAGCAGTGGGGACATTAATAGGCTGATGATGATGATGATGATGATGAGGTCATTGCATTGTTGTGATTGTTACCATGTTCCCGATATTTATAGCAAGTCATGAGATGAGACAACAGATATGTCTGCCAATAACATCTACCCGCAATTACTTAGGTTACTTACTTTACTACTTTATACGTTAATAAGTATAATGTTAGTGACCATGAAAGTTTCAAAGAATATAAAATCTTATAATCTCTAACTCCTCCGCGCTTCGAAATGCACATAAAACCCGGTGGTCCCGTTAATGATGAGGTGCTTAATATACCCAGAAACTTTGTATTTCAATAATTGAAATACAAAGTTTCTCTTCTTGGCCATTTGTGATATCAATAATATAAAGATGAGAAACTACAGAAATGTCTCGACTCACTTGTACATGTGACGCAGCGCGTTGATCTCGGCGCGGATGTTGTCCATCTCCTGCATGACGAGGTGCTGCGTCCGCATCTCGCTGGAGAGGTGCGCCACGGACCGCGCCAGCGTCACCACGTGCGACTCCAGCCGCTGGAACCGCTTGTTGATACCCTGGGGGTAACATAATACACACACATATATATATATGTATATCTTCTTCTTCGGCGCTACACTCTTGACAGAGTGGTCGTGGTCGTCACATCAGGATTGGTGGTGCGCTTCACAATACGCCGCCATTCGTCCCGCACTGCGGCCTTTCTAGTGCACTCGTGAAGTGGACCGTTCAGTGCCGCTTTTATCTGGTCAGTCCAGCGCATTGGTGATCTGCCGCGCGCCCTTACGCCCTCGACTTTGCCCTGCACCACCAGTCGTTCTACTGACGCACCTTCTCGGCGTGAGATGTGGCCAAAGAAAGTTAGAATACGACCTTGTACGATGGAAGACATATTGCCTAAATATTATATGTATATATATTGCCTAAATTAATGATTGTCAAAGTTTTTGAGTTAAAATTCAATAATCAAATGATGTGAATGTGGAAAGAGGCTGGTACTTATAGCACAGAATATTCTTTTTTAAGTACTAGCAGCTATAATATTATGTCAAAATTGTGTCATATCTATGTGATAATAAGCTGTAACTATAGCTAATCATTATCTTTGTGGAAAAATAAACTATTATTATTATAATACTCCTTTATAGGGTATTTCACGAGTTTTAGAAAACGTGCTCACGTCATATTGCTAATGTTTATAGAGTCCACAGAAAGTGAATATTTTTAATTCTTTGTGTGCAATTCAGTAAAAAAAAAACTAAATAAAAATTAAATTTTCGGTCACTATAGTGGTCATGTTAGTGTAAAGACATGCCTTCAGAAACCAGCACCTTATATATTTAACTCTAAATTGGCAGATCTTATAATAATCATTAAAGACGACACATCAGAAGACTTCCGACGTCTATGACCAGAATGATCTTTCGATTCCCCACGCCCCGCCATAGTTTATTCGCGCCATCTGACACTTCCGGTTTAATTAATTTTATTACAGTAACACGAACAAACTACTTTTAAATTTATTAAAAAAAAATACCGCGCCTCCCTTTCTGCGGGTGCGGCGGCCTCTGCTGAGTGCTCCAAGCGACGCAAATATTCAGCTCACAATGAGAACTATATATTTGTGCCATTTGGTGTTGAAACCATTTATTTGGGCCCATGGGGTCTAAGCGCAGCAGTAAAGAGACTCACCGAAGTGACTGGTGACCAAAAGGTATAAAGGTAAGCTAACTTGGCCAACGGATCAGCCTTGCCATTCAACGTGGCAATGCTGCCAGCCTATTGGGCACCATTCCTGACGGCAGCGCTGGGGGTGACTATTTTTCATTTTGTAAATTAGATATTACTAGCAAACCAGTGAACCAAATGTTCACCAAAACCTGATTTAAAAAAAAAATGTATTTAATTAATTGAGAACTTCGGAGATTTTGTGTGGTTTCGTTTGAAATTCGTGATTTCTCGAAAACCGGAAGTGCTACGTTACTCAAATCCGGTTTGTAGTCTTATCAGACTATTCTTAACTTATAACTTAAATATTCTCTTTATCTATCTCTTACGGTTTGGCCGCTGAAACAGCACCACAGACGGACGGACTTGTCTAATAGATAAGAGATTTATAAGTAGGTTAAGGTAATTTGTATTTGTTTAATAATTTGGACATATCAAAATTGAACCTCATATTAGGAAGGTTTACATACCTTGAGGTCGTTCTTCTTCCGGTGGTCGCTGTGGCGGCGCTTGTCGCGCGCGGGCCGGCTGCTCACCGAGCTGGACGGCAGCGACGACATGCTGCCGTAGCGACGCTTCGATGACAACCTGCTGGGACAATACAATAATAATAAATTATTTATTTGTTTTTTTTTCAACATAGGGATGATGACAATTTTTTTTTCTTCTTCGTTTATCAGATAGATTATGAAAAAGTATTGGACACGTATTTTTTCTTTTTTCACAAAATATAAACATTGCAGAGATATATTGATTTGAAAAGTCGCATGACGTCACGTTTGAGTACACTTATAAGGGAAAATTCACTCAAAAGTGACCTCACGAGCCCCTACTCCCAAACGTTGACGCGCTATAACTTTGTCATTTTTTGGTTGATTGCCCAAAGAAAAAATACGTGTCCATTATTTTTTGATCATCTAGCTGACGGACTAAATAGAATTTCGTTTAGTGTACCCCGTCATCACCCCTAACACAAATAGAATGACAGTAAATTTTAATTGAAACAAAAAGGTATGTGACTCAGCACGTGACAGTCAGGTTTTGACTTGTCGCTGGTATTCTGCCACCACCTCACAATTATTATATTCTAAAAAACACATTAATAAGGACAATATCAGCAAGTCGAGACAATAATTTAGTTTTAATTACTACAACAATTAAACAGCATCATATTTTGTACTTGCCGCCTCGTGTTGTTGTTCAAGGAACCACCGTTTACACATTTGCTTAAAACTGCTTTCGGATATTATAAGACTTTGCCGCAAAGGAGGAGGCAAGTCATTCCATATTTTCGAAGCGGCAAATACAAAACGTCCCCTAGCAACAGCATTTCTAAATAAAGGCAGAGACAGGCGCAGGCCAGTGTCCCTCAAATTAGTACCACGAGTCCTCCATTTTAACTTACTAGCCAAATATTCCGGTATATTTATTTCAAGCAAGTGAACATAACTCTCTTACAAAACGTACATTATAGGTAAAACAGTTGTGCTAATCTGTAACTTTAGTACGAGTTTGAGCTCACGAAAACTATCATAGTTTTCGTAGGTAATTGTATTTTATGTTTCTATGTCCATTTTGGTGAAAAGTAACCAAATATAGTTAAAATTTAAGAAGACGTAAATGATTTAATGATAGAATTTAAACACTGCTGTATTTGTATTGAAACGAAAACAATAAAATCAGAACTGCGAACTTACGAAAACTATCATAGTTTTTGTAATTGTAAAACCCGTACTAAGGGTGTAGGAACAAACTCACTTTTCACTTTGGAATCCGTGTGTGATTTGAAATTAGAATACCAATTTGTAGGATGTAATTTGAAATTAGAATACGAATTTCAAATCACAATATATCCATACTAATATTATAAATGGGAAAGTGTGTTTGTTTGTTTGTCTTCTCTTCACGCCTAAACCGCTGAACCGATTGTAATGAAATTTGGTATATGTATAGCTTGAACTTATGAGACTGCTATAGGCTACTTTTTTTTAATTTATGTATTGGAATTTACATAATTTTCAACTAAATTAATCATTTTCATGGTTGGTCCCGATAGAGATGACGCTACTGTCACGAAGACAGATTAAATTTGAAATGTGGAAGTTGCTATCTTAACATAATAATACGAGATGGCACCACTCGTGTTCAATACCGAGTATTTTGTGTTAGTGTTTCATTTATTAAATCGAGGTAATTTTACGCAATTTCTTTCTAATCTCATTTTTAAAATTAAATCTAGCAAATACTACTCTAAATTTATAATATAAAAATATCATTTTCGAGTGATTATAGATAGAGATGGCGCTACCATCTCGAATACCAACTCAACCGAGTAGTCTCTCTTGAAATAATATTTTCTGAGTAACTTATCAGATGGCACCACCCGTCTTTAATATCGAGAATTTTTAATTGCTAAAAATGTGAGTTGTGATATTGCGTTTTTTCAGATCGCGCTATTTATGAACATGACTATTTAATATTTATTGTTAATTTTAACGTCATGTAGGTAGATATTTTAATAAAAACAATATTAGTAAAAAAAACCGACTTCCTTCAGTGTCCTAATATCTTACCAGAAAATCTTATAAACATCAAATAGATATTAAATAATCAGCTGTTTGCAGTAGACAGATACTAAATAAACAGCTGTTATGATTTATTTTACTCCCTTAATCGAGTATTATCCAATAATTTTCAAGTGGAGATTGATCCTGGATGTTGAGTAGAGGTAGGCGCTAACAACTCGAATAACAATTCGAAAACCAAGCTGTTGCGTGTGAAACTGAAGAGATGTCGCTACCCGAGTCGAGTTTACTTGCACTAAAAATCTGAGGTTTTTCGGATGGCGCTATTCATGAACATTACTTTTTTATATTTATTGTTTTTAATAGTATTCTGTTATCTGTGCTATTAGAGAAGAATCAACGTGGTGGTGTTAAGTGCTTACTATTTCAGCAGGTAAGCAACAGCAAGCAGTAGGTACCTACCTACCTTGATATCTGTTTTTGTTTTCCTTTGTGATTTGGTTTTGTTGTGCATTAAATGAATTAGGTAGGTATTTTGGTAGTTTCTTCGAATGTATAAAATTGACTCACTGATAAAAATTATGGAAGAACACATAACATCGTGTACAGTAGCGTACTTAAATAGTACTGCTATGTGTTTAAAATAATTAAACCCTTTATTCTAATAATACTAATGCTTTTACATTTTGAAGTTTTATTACGTACTATCCATAGTAGTATTAGGTATTATTATGAGTGTTTGTTTTGTTTATCCTTCCTCGAAGCCTAAGCCACTTTGAAATTTGGTAAGTATATATAGTGCAGTCATTGAAGCATTATTGCTCCGAATTTTTTTACTGTGAACCGAATTGCATACAATTTTGGAATTAGGTTCAGCTTACCCTTAACTTCAAAAGTGAAAATGATGGTTGCCACCCCTTCTCGGGGGTGATTTTTTTTTTCAAAATAAGTATTGTAATAAATTTTAAGCAAAAAATCATCTATAAAGTTTTTCAAAAAATCCAATACTTTTCAAGTTATTGGCAATTGAAAATTCGAATTTTTTTCCCGTTTTTCATCGGTTTTTTGCAAATATCTCCAAAAATGTAAGTTTTATCGAAAATTTTATAAAAAACAAAATTGTAGCAGGTAAAACAATGAACAATTTGGTTTTTTATAAAGTATTCTAAGTGCAATATTAAGCTAGATATTAAAGATCAAAGCCGTTTTTTATTTTGTCTGAAATTTAATCGATGTGGTCAATGTCATCTAGCGGCGAGCAGATGCATTTTATGCATTCTAATACAAAATCTTATTATGTCAAACCAAAGTATTTTTTTGTGATTTTTTCAATTTAGGGGTTGTTTGCAAGGGTTGTAAGATTTTCAAGGGGTTGAAAATGATTTTAATATGGGGTAATTATGTTAGAAAATAATTTAAAATTTCATCACTTACTATTAGACATGTTTTCTAGCTATAAAATGGCTCAATGTCAATTTTTCCATTAAGGGGTTGTTTACACCCCTTAAAAATAATAGGCGGAGTTCAGATCATTTTCACTTTTGAAGTTAAGGGTAAGGTGAGCCTAATTCCAAAATTTCATGCAAAACGGTTCACAGTAAAAAAATTCGGAGGTAAGACCGTATTTTTCGCTTCAATGACTGCACTAATAGGTTGAAGCTTTGGGTTGCTATAAGCTACTTTTTTACTCACTATGTCAAAAAAGGATGATGGCCTCAAATAGGAAAACCACGCGAGCGTAGCCGCGGGTAACAGCTAGTGATAGAATAATCACAGAATATGAATTTGTAGGATGTGATTTGAAATTTGTATTGCCCTTCCCTATGTTTGCTGCGTGACTAAGCTAGCTGGATTCTTCACTCCCAGAAGTTGCAGCTCTTAAGCGTACACATTCTCCAGATCTCACAGCTGTCTTCTGATGACCTTCTTCCAATGGCTGATATTGTTTAAAGTGAACTCTACTGGATTCGTACGACAGATTTTTGACCAAACTAGCTAGTTTCCTCACTCCCAGCAGCTGCAGTACTTGAGCGTACATGTGTTCCAGCCCTCGCAGCTGAATTCATATGACCCTCTTCTATCGACCAGTACACTTAGATTAAAACAAAAAGGGTAGATACGGTACGCTCATACTAGCATCAAATAAAATATGATCCGACTCAACTACATAAGCAACTCTCGCCACGCACACGTCTGTATATAAAGAGCATCGAGCGAGCGAGACAGAACTAACCGCTTCAACGCAGCGTATTGTTGTCCTTTTCTTGCTTAAAAATGGCGATTACGTAAATTATATTCACGACAAACCGTGATTTTTGAGAAAAAAATGTTTTCACAGTTTTACGAATGAAAAGTGTTGCCGGGGCATTTGATTTTGAACTATTTGTGTTCTTTATAAAAGCATCGATGGCATTGTTTTATCTTTATAACGCAGAATATACGCAATATTGTTATATTGAATGTACATGCAGCGTGTTTGAATGTCAAATTTTGACTAAAGCGAATTATGGTCGTGGACCACAATTTAAGCGGATCACTTTTGAGCCGCGAATGCCGTATCTTCCCTTTTTGTTTTAATCTAAGCCAGTACAGTGTTATCCGAAATTATTGCCGGTAAAGTATAATGTAAACTCTCACCTCGATTCCCAGGTTGGTTGCTTGGCTAAACTAGCTGGTTTCCTGACCCCCAGCAGTTGCAGCACTTCAGCGTACATATTCTCTAACCCTCGCAGTTGTCTCCTAATAGCCCTGGCGTCTCCCGTAGACGCATCGCTGTCTGTTCGTCCATCTAGTAAGGAGGATAGATCCAGGCTACGAGTGGTAGTCGACGTCATGTCCGTAGTGTCGAGGCCGAATACTGAAAGAAAGAAAAGAAAGAAAGAAAATCATTTATTGGTTACACAGCATAGGTAGGTACATTAAAAACAAAACAGAAATATAAAAAAAAAACTAGAACTACAAATAAAAAACAAGAAAACTAAATTCAGGTGCTGCTGTGCAGAGCCAACAGGTCGCTGTCTCAGTTATGCTACTGTGGTAGTACTTCCGCAATACCACAGCAGCGCTGGTTTTCAGCCAGCGCCTAGTGATATCCGAAACGCCAAACAAAATGCGTACTCGTATTTTGTACGAACTACAAAATGCGACTGATTTTAAATAAAAGAATAAAAAATAACTAGCAAACCAGTGAACCAAATGTTCACCAAAACCTGATTTAAAAAATGTATTTAATTAATTGAGAACTTCGGAGATTTTGTGTGGTTTCGTTTGAAATTATAACCTTTAAATAGTTAATTATAATTGTGATAATTACAAAATAGAAATCATGTGATTTCTCGAAAACCGGAAGTGCTACGTTACTCAAATCCGGTTTGTAGTCTTATCAGACTATTCTTAATACTTAAATCTTATAACTTAAATATTCTCTTTATCTATCTCTTACGGTTTGGCCGCTGAAACAGCACCACAGACGGACGGACGGACGGACTTGTCTAATAGATAAGAGATTGATTCTGCATGCCACGTAATGGCCGCGCGCGCAGAGTTTGTAGTATTTTACGTGGCAATTCTTGATAGAACATCAATAAATCCGTGCCATTTTGAATGAGCGGGCCGAAAAAAGAAAAAAAAAAACTGGAGAAATAATAAGATTATATTTTAGTAACCTCAGCCATTATCGACTCTGTTGTATGCAGCAATGAGCAGGCAAAATATGTCTATTATATCTGGACAGCATTACCAGGAATTCTCACACTGCATCACACTCCCTCCCTTTGCCTTGAAACCTGCAGTGGTGCAGCTCACGCGTCTACATGCAGAGAAACGATATTTTATATGGCGAAAGCTGATCTACATTTCTGCAACCACGTGCGTAGCTCTATCGCCACGCACCTCGCAGCGTAGTGCGTTGCAACGTGAGAATTGCCTATCAAGCATCGTTGATTCGTGACTGTGAGATTTAATCAGTTTATTGTATCAGGATTGTTATAATTCAGATAATATTATTACTAGAAAAAATCATCTCAGTCCAGATCCAGACGTCAGGCCAGACTCTCCTACTGGTAGCGCAATGCTAAAATTTAGCAAAATTACAATATTTACTCCGTCTAAGATATATACTGAAACTATGTTTGTTAATTAAGACCGTACTCACGATGTTTTTTATAGTGATGGTCTCGCTTGGAGGAGTGCTTCTTGTGTGAGTGCCAGCGCGGCGAGTCTCGCCCGCGTCGCCGCTCGTCGGGGTACTCAGACGATCGCCCTGGAAGACTGGAGGACAAAACACAATTAATATATGGGATTTTTACAAGTGTATTCTTCATACATCAACATCATCATCAGCCTTTTTATATCCACTGCTAGGTCACAGGCCTTCTCTAAGGATAGAACAGGGAGCAATCTGGTGGCCAGCTGGCCATTGGGCTACAAGGTAGTTTTACAGGGAACAATTTTGGGTTCAATACTTTTCAATTTGTATAGCGTCAATCAGTATTTCAAAAATGAAATAAATTTTATGACCTAACGCTCCGATGCCTCCATCATATACACCGTGTTCCTGAGGATATACATTAACTTTGAATAATACTTCTATAGCTCTTGTTAAACATATCGTACAAGGAACGTAGTAGTTTAAATAGCATAGTTTTTAAGTTATTGGTAATTTAAGTTTAACCAACTTAATTGTGTTGTGCAGTGAGAAAGAGTCTTTATCTGTGAGATGTTGCCACTTTGTGCAACCAAAACTATCAAACTATCAACTCTTTGTCAGTGGTCATTAAGTCATAGTTTCAAAAGTCAAAATTTTAAAAACATTGTTGACGTCAAGAAAAGTTTCAAAAAGTTTATGTGGACATGTGATGTGAACCGAAGTTTCAAATGCGACGTTGCCAGCTCAGGTAAAGAGTAATTCATATTAGATAAATTAAAACTAAGCATTTAATTTGTACGAAAATAAAAAAAAGTTAAAGAAATTGGAATTCATAAAATATAATATATAGTAAAAAATTATCAATTTAATAGTCTGAATAACATCCCAAATTTAGTGTATAACCTCAGGAACACGGTGTATACACTTATCCATACTAATATTATAAATGTGAAAGTGTTTCTGTCCGTTTATCCATCTGTTACTTCTTCACACTTAAAATTCTGAACTGATTTAGATGAAATTTGATATAGAAACAGTTTGAATCCCAAAGTCATCTTTTAAAAGAGTGAAAATGGGGAGTGATATAAGAAACAATATTCCACACTTACCGACTAGTGCGTTCATAAAATCAGCCAAAAATGGAAAAACCAAATTTTACCTGTTCCTCTTGTGCAAGTCAGAGGAGGGCGACAGTGGTGGCAGGGGTGGCGTGATCGAGCTGTCGGAGCTGCCCGACGAGTCCAGCCTCATGCCGGCCAGCTTCGGCTCCAGGATCTGCCTCAATTCACACTCCACCAGGTCCGCCCATTCATTCTCCCCACCTGAAGACGATATGATATTTAAAATATCACCTCTATAAATCGGGCTCCGATTCAAAGTATTTTCAGAGATAACGGAAACAATTCATTTATCACACTCAACTCGTCCTAATAGTGACAGATATGGCAGAGACATATATGTTGTTTCAGCTACCCTCAACGTGCCTCTCTAAACGAAGATGATGCGACTACCATTGCCTATAGACGCTACATTACTATTGTGCGTGCGTTACCTAACCTACCCCGTGGAGCTCTGGTAATTTTTACTGATTGCAGTAACACCGCGTTACAGATTAATATTATTTGGCTACAATATAAATTTAATTACTTCCACAGATGGGCTCTAATTCGAGCATAAAACCCAATGTGTGTTACTGTCATATAAAACCTGTGTTTTGTAATTTGGCCTACCACAGGTGGCATTTCTGAATTATGTATTGTATTTACTTGGTCCTGCGCTTTGCTGGCTAGGCCCGGGCTGAGGTTGAGTCCTCGAAGTTCCGACGGCATCAGAGTCAGCTGAAGTATCATGTAGAGCTTCGGGTCTTCGTCCACTCGAGTACGCTACACTGCCTCTACCAGAGTCCACATTGGATGATTGACCACCATTTTTGTCGTAATCTGAAGTCAAGTAAATATTGAATATAATTTAAGTCATGTATGAAGGTTATATTTATTTTAAATTAACTAATCACTACTAGGAAAAATATATCTATTGTTTCATTTGTTCGATCAAAATTTAGTTTTTATAATTTATGTATACCTGAACTAGCTCCAGATCCAGCTCCTTTTTTCCCGTGCGATTTAAGGTCTTCTATCCTGTTAGGTGTGTGTCTTGAAGATGAAGGTTGTGGAAGGCAAGATTCAGCCTTCCCGCTCGTATTGTAAACACTATCAGCTGACTTCTGACTCGCGCTTTCATCGTTTCTATCAACAAGATTTGAAGGAGGAACTCCTTGCTCTTCTTTTTGTTTCTGTCCCATAGAGTCAGGTGTTCTACGAGGCTCCTTGTGTATTTCAGGCGTCCGTCTTTCTCTGTGTATTTCTGGTGTACGTCTTTCTCTATGTATTTCTGGTGTCCGCCTTTCTCTGTGTGCTTCTGGTGTGCGTCTTTCTTTGTGAATTTCTGGAGTTCTTCTGTATATATTTTCTTGCATTCTTTGCGATTCTACTGATCGGCCACTTGTTCTTATTCGTTCTTCGTAACTAGTTCTTTCCTGAGCAGCAAGACGTGTTCTGAAACCACCATCATCGGATTCTCTTTCCTCAACACGACTCTGATGATGTTCAATTTCGACTCCTTCCAGAAGGTTTCCATAAGAGTTTCTTCTAGAACGGTCGCGGATTGGAGGAGATGTTATTTCAACTCGCGTTTGAGGTTCATCTAAAAGATGAGGATGTGATGCTGCTCGTCTGCCTTCAACAAAACCCCTCTGTCTTATAATTTCTCTTTCCAGCTGCTGAGGACTTCTTAAATCCGGTCTTGAATGCGAATTTTCACACTGGAATAATAAATACATACTTATTTTTACATGGGTTAGATGCATACAATTATGTTAATTAGCATTGAAGTAGCTAATTAATTTATTCTGTTGGACAGAAAAAAGGAAGTAACAAATTTTTATTAATTGCCTAGTTTGAAAATATTGTTAGCAGCACAGTGATTAAAAATTAAGTAATGAACTTGTTGATTGAAATCATTAAGTAACTGTAAAAAAGGAGCCAAATTATTTTAAGCATTTCCTCTTTCTTAATGGTAAACGGATTTGTTCAACTCCAAACTAGTTTAGACATGTACAGATTATTTTTGAAACTGTACTTTTTAATTAATTTCAACCATATATTCCCACAGTAAAATTAGTCACAACAAACAGATTTTAAGTGTAAGTATCTTAATAAGATTGTGAAAGTGTATCTGGAAAATTAAAACCCAATTACCATTGAAGGAAGTTTACTTTCAAAATCATCAAACATGATTGACTTATTTATGAAGAAAACAATGATTCAATAAAAATTTCTTGTGAGGAGCGTAAAAATAAGTTCCAAGATCTCACAAATCTCCGCTACATGCTGTTGTAATTGCGGAGTCCGTGGGAAGTGTTATTTAATTGTTGAGAACCATTGTTCTTTGTGTTGTTGAGGTTGCTAGTGAGAACCATAGACTGAATACAAGGGGTCGAGAAGTGTTGCAAGAGAACTGTTGCAGTGTTTTTTTCCCTCGTAATTCCATATTTTTTGGTCAATGAATATTACGAATAAGACAATTAGCTCTGAAACACTCGTTAATGTACCACGTTTGGGTGTTGAGTTAAAAGTTCCCAAGCTATTCAAAATTTTCTTTATAATTTCTAATATAAGAAAAGAAAAATATAATTGCACTTTTGTGAATGTTGACTGTTTAATGCTAGTAAAATGATGATTTTGAAAAAAGTTCTTTAAATTTTTTGCTTTTTAATATTAAATTGTAAATGTAATTTTTTTAAGTACCTGAGTTTGGGGACCTGTCTTTAATGAAGTGAAGTTGGCCATTGATCTGACGTCTACATCACGTTGATAGAGAGCGCTTCTTCGTCCAGGAACTCCATATTGCTGGTATAAGGCATCAGCGCCTAATGCTTGAGGCTGTGGTCGAGCGTGTGGGGTCGATGCCAGCATCTCTTGCGACCTGGCTTGATGGTTTAGTAGCATTTGTTGCTGAACTATTTGCTGCTGCATCAATTGCCTGTAACATAAGAATTCATCAAGAATAAATTTAAGTGAGAATGTCTTTAAACAGTGAGTTAGGGAATAAAGTATACTTTATACCTGTGTGGTGAAGGACTAGGGTACGCCATATTATTTGCGACATTGTGAGTGTACTGCATATCAGGCCGATTCTGTGGCACTGGTCTTCCATATATTCCCTGTTCGACTTTTCTTGCACTCGTTTCTCTGGGTGGAGTTTGTTCTGCTTCGGGTCTTTTTCTTTCTTCACTATTATTCAAGTTAGGTTCTGGTTCACTATTCTTTTCGCTATCATTATTGTCTTTACTTTTAAATCTACTCGAGATCATGTCTTTGAGCGTGTGGTAAGTCTTGCTTACTGATTTGTTGCTTTTAGGTGCATCCCTTGTGCTATCTTTGCCGGTTTCTACAGTGACTGTAATCATTTGTGAGTTATTTGGCGTTTCAAGTTTTGTGCCGTATACGTTTTTAGCTGGTATGGGTGGTTTAGGAGAGTCGTATTGGGCGTTTCTCGGTGCTGCTCCTTGGTTTTGATTCTGGTGCATGGCGTAGCTATAGTTGTCATGGAACTGTCTGAAGTTGTCTCCAGATGTTCCCGCTTGCTGATTCTGTGAAAGGCCACATTATGTTTATATTCTACTGTATTGTGATACCTGTGGGAATGGTAGAGACAATAGACTATTGGTTAGTGGAAGTTAAATTGCCACAGTTCATGCTGTGTAACTGTATATTTTATGCAAGTGTGATTCACAGTATTGTGTGACTCTTCACTTGTCGGATTGGAAAATGTAACGAAAGTCCTACAAAAGTATTCTCAATGATAAGTTATTTGCATAAATATGTGCAAGCGGCTATTGTTGCCGTCTGAGACCACAAATATTTTGAAAGTTTATGTTTTGTTATAAAGCAGCTCTTATTCTAAGCTGATTATCTGGTTTATAATGTTTTTTTTAGTTCTTGAAAGTTGAAATATATAGCAAGAGATGCTGAGTTAAAATTCTATATTTTTTTAATTCATGAAATGAATCTTAATAAGAAACAAGTTGTAGGAGGAAATAAGACCAAACGGTTGCATGATAAGCGTAATTCAATGTCTTAATGGATCCGCCGATATAAAAAACTATTTGTTATAATAGCATTAGATAATTCGTGAAAGTTTTTGGTAAGTTGTTCATTAAGAAAGCTATTAGTTACTGTTATAATAATAATAATCTAAGTTGATGTACACCTCACCCACTTTTAAGATATAAAACATTATGTTAAAGTTAATTGTCAATGTTTATAATATTCTACACTTAAACTAAGTAAGAAATGTTAAATTATATATTTCTTTAGAAATTAAAATTCATAGCGTTCGACTTTGTATTTTGTTACTAAAGTATTTTTTGTATTAATTCAGACATAAATATTATTATAAGAATATTTTCTACTTTACAGTCATTGTTAAGAGCCCTTTCACATTTGCGAAAAATCGCAATTATTGAGCGCCTCGCTTACCCCCTTAGAAAAGATTTTGACTATTTCCAATAGAAGTAAACAGTAGATTTATTCTTCCTTTTGTAAGTTAATGTAGAATATTTGCAAATACTATTTTCCTTTTTTTGTACTGATCGTTCTACTGCAGCTAGTTTACGGAAAAAACGGTAATATGCACAACTTCAAACGCCTCAATCTCTCAATAATGTTCAATAAATTAGATCAAATTAATTACTACGACATCCTTACTAATATTATAAAGGCGAAAGTTTGTTTGGATGGATGTATGGATGGATGTTTGTTCCTCTTTCACGCAAAAACTACTTAACGGATTTTAATGAAACTTTACAGTAATGTAGCTTATAGATCAGAATAACACATAGGCTACTTTTATCCCGAAAAAAATGTTAGGTTCCAGAGGGATTTCCAAGAAACTTAGTTAACGCAGACGAAGTCGCGGGCGACCTCTAGTCAGAAATATGTTTTTGTTGTAACATAATGTATTTGAATATTGATTTTCCATCTCATTAATTATCAAAAAAAATATCTAACCTCCGTGAGTTTTTCCAAAAAATAATGCAGGTTTACCTCGTATTTTATTATTATTTATATCTATTTGAATTAAATAGAATTACTTTCAACAACTTTAATAAAACTAATCTACCATCATTGAACTACTGAAATATGTATATATTTTTATAATTAGTGTATTAATAATTTTAAAAGACACGAAACATCAGCCGTAAAATGCAATATATACTAGTGCAAATCTACCTACGCGCCGATCAGTAAGGCAGCGGCGCAATTTTGTAAAAGGGCTCTTAACGGCAAATTCAAAAGACCCGCAAAATAATGCGACTACGCTTATCTGCAAATTCCAGTTACTTCCTATAAACCTTAGTTTTTGTAAAACTTAATCTTAGTTTGACGATGTTTTTGTAAATAACAAATAAGCAAAATATGAAAATAAGAAGCTGAAATAATTGAATATTTGTGTCAGCCGAGCTTACATTCCACTACAATTCAGTCATTCAAATAAAGTTTAAAATTAAGTTAAAATACCAACATTCTCCAAGGCGAATTCCACCATTTTTGTCGTTCCACCAAAGGCACTCACATTTTATTTCGTCAACACTTTTTACAACCGCACCTTTTAACGAATGCAGCGCAGTACTCCACTGACGCGAGGCAATAAAACATCAAAATAACACAGCGCTGTACTTCACGGGCGTTGGTTGAATGCGTCACTTGAGCGGAGCGCGAGGGATAGAAATATCAAAATAATGCAGCGCCGTATTCTGTGGCTGTTGTGTGGCGTGCGCGCGTGCACCGGATGCGCGTGTCGGATGCGTGTGGCCCGTCTGTGTACGACGTACGGCGAATGGCTGAGAACGTTCACTTCGGCTTGTTAGTTGTATAGGTTCATCACTCTTTTTTAATGTGGTTCAGGTTTGTTATATCGCGTTTTAGGAAAATTCGATTAATTATGTTATATCAATGCTCAATCAATGAGGATGCTCTATGGGAGGCGGCGTTTCGCGCGTCTCTTTCCACCCTAGTGAGGCTAGCGGACGGTGGACATTGCACAGTCTCACCCGTCGAGGGGGGATGCCTTGGGTGCCTCCTGGCATCCCCCTGACCGCTAGGAGGAGGAATCCCTGCCGGGGGTAACGAGGAGAGTCACCAGGATCCCACGATACCCATTCCGGCAGACGAGGAAGCACTGTTGGGTTTTTAGTGGGTACGGCCCCACACATCCCGGGCAGCCGCTGGGCCAGTCGCATGATTTGGCTGAGCGGGTGGGCGGGATTTGGGGAGAGGAGGTGTCCCACATTACCACGTCTCTCACCAGGGGCGGGGTATGCGACATGCACTTTCCCAACACAAAAAAGGGGGAGGATGGCCATTAATTACGTTACTTTGCGTTAGACAAAAGAAGATGTAAGTTCAGGGTACACCGCTTTTTATTGATGCGCTTTAGGTAATTCGCGTTAGAGAAAGAAGATATTTAGTCAGTAGTTGAAGGTGCAACACTTTTTTCGATGCAGTTAAATTTTGTTTTGTCATGTCAGAGGAAAAGATATATTATTGCTTTTTAAACTTGCGATTCCTATGTTTTATGACGCAACCTATGTTGGCAATAGAAGACTGGATAATGATGATGTGGTAATAAATAATGTAGATTATCCTCTTAATCATAAATATATAACTTCGTTAATATCGAGTACTGTAATGAAATATCCGTATAATTATTATAGATGTATGAAAGCTATTTTGAATATTTTCAATCATATTTCATTCAGTGCTGTCTACAATTAGTAAGCTGGCTGATATTACGATAAAGCTACTCTGTTGGTATTTTTTTGACCGAGCTGGTTAAAGTTAAATTTTATTGACCACGTTTTGACTATCGTCAAATGGTGCAACCCAATTTTTACCTAACCGGTAAGATCTTTCTCTGAGCAGTTAAAGTAAGTTAATGCAACTCACTCTTAGTATGATGACAATTTTAGTAAAGCCTTTAAGAATAAATTGTGACTACATATAAGACTTCATATAATAAAAGACGGTCTTACCACAAAAAAGTTTGATACGGTGTCAATTTGATATAACATTTTTTTAACCTGTGTTGAACTAGGCTTGTTGAAAATATATCGATGCATCGATATATCGATATTTTTTGCCGATATATTTTTATTCGATATATCGATACAAAATAACCAATATCGAAATTCGTATCAAAAACGATATTTTTTTTAATTATTAGCATTTACCTGAGAGGCCCTGCAATCATTTTCATCATTCGAAAATAGGGAATAATGGAACGGAAATTATCTCCCTAAAAATAGACCCCTATTTTTAGGGAGATAATTTCCGTTCCATTATTATTCCGCGTGTCATATTTCGTGAGATACTTATACGTACGTAACGTACGATATTTTTGGGAAAATTGGTCCGATATATCGATGTTTTTTTCGCGATATATTGAAGCCGATATTGATATTCTTTAAAAGATCGATGTATCGATATTTTTTTCAATTTTCGACATCCCTATTTTGAACTCATCTTCTTTGTCGTAATAAGGTTAAATTACAGAGTTCAAATTAAAGTCCTTTATTGCACCATGTTGTTTCATAGATCTTTGATAGATTTTTTTTATTAATAGATACAAACATGTCCCTGATAGGGCACTTGCAAATACTAAATAATCATAAATGATTATTGAAAAATGTTAATATAGAATCTTGTACGTATTCTATACTAGAGGTCGCCCGCGACTTCGTCTGCGTTAACTAAGTTTCTTGGAAATCCCTCTGGAACCTAACATTTTTTTCGGGATAAAAGTAGCCTATGTGTTATTCTGATCTATAAGCTACATTACTGTAAAGTTTCATTAAAATCCGTTTAGTAGTTTTTGCGTGAAAGAGGAACAAACATCCATCCATACATCCATCCAAACAAACTTTCGCCTTTATAATATTAGTAAGGATTAACATTTTTTCCTGATTGTCACTATTTTTATTTAAAAATTCTTGCAGCGAATAAAAACATCTTTTAACTAGATATTCCTTTAGCATTTCAACTTCGATTTACTTGTCTTGATCTGTTCTTCATTATTTCTAGATAATTTGTTATAAATTTTCACACACATTGACAGGGGACAGAGTAGGTGTCCGCTTGGAGAGCAAATTAATAAGCGGTTATTTACGAGTTCGATGCGAGATGTATACGTAACTTTCACTGTGATGTGTGTGATACAGGCGGGGGCGAGCTATTGTCTGCACCATGTTTATTGAACAGTGAGGCCATTCACACGTGCAGTGAAATCCTTAGTTCCGCCATTACATGATACAGTTAGCTATACACCGTGTTCCTGAGGATATACATAAACTTTGAATAATACTTCTATAGCTCTTGTTGAACATATCATACAAAGAAATTAGTAGTTTAAATAGCATAGTTTTTAAGTTATTGGTAATTTAAGTTTAACCAACTTAATTGTGTTGTTCAGTGAGAATGAGTCTTTATCTGTGAGATGTTGCCACTTTGTGCAACCAAAAATATCAAACTATCAACTCTTTGTCAATGGTCATTAAGTCATATTTTCAAAAGTAAATATTTTTAAAAATCA